CAATTTGATAAAAATTAATTTAGACTCTAAAATGGACAAAGCAAACGGGTTAAAAATTGAAAAACCCAAAAAGCACTGTGAAATCAGTGAGAGAGCAGCTAACTCAGAAAGTTTCCCTAAAGCAGAAATACAAGCGGTTGAACCTGGATTCGAAAAACTGCGTAGAAACCAAATCGGAAGGTATTCAGCATTTATAGCAAAATAAGAACATTCTATAGTTTTTTTTGTTTTCCACATTCCCAGATGAAGCGAAAGAAAAAACAAAGAAAAATGCAAAGCTGATAAACATTTTGAACGTCCAGACTTTTAGCTTCCTCTGTAGTTTAAGAATACTGGTACCTTAAACGCGTTGATTCGCAAAAAGCACCTAAAATTGAGAATTTACTGGCAGAACCCATTATGGAAAATTCTGCAAAAGAGCCTTTGCAAAGCAATGCAATTACAGGTGTGAACGGTATGGAATATATTTCGTGATTTTGATTTTTCAATACACTTTTTCATGACACTTTTTTAGACAACTTGTCAACATCAGTAGTTTCCAACCGCATAATTGTAAAGGCAATGGTACATAATAATGCTAATGGAGAGAAAGAAGGTAAATACGAGGCAAATTAAAAATAGGTTCAGTTTTATTTTGGTGAATTAATAAGTTGGGTTCCGTTTAGTGCTTGGTTTTTGTTGCTCGTTTGAACAAATTCCGATTAACAATAATAATTAGTCAACTGTATTATGATATCATTTCTAGCAGCAATAATATCAAGTACACCAATCGAGAAGTCCATACATAATTGTGAAACTTATATCGCTGCCAGGTAAGGATTAGGATTCCCTTTACTCCATAAAATATTGAATTTTCAAATTTCCAGATGTGAACCTAATGATTTATCTCCAGATAAATGCGACATTTATTTGCTAAATAAATCGGAATCGTCAACTCCCGAAGTCAGTACAAGTTATTCAGACCATTACGATTGGCCTGAGATAAATGTTGAAGATACAAAACGGGAAAAAATCCGTATTATTCGGAATATTGCGGTAAGTTCAACGATTCCAAATAATGCGGTTTGCAAAATGTGTAAACACATTCTGCTGGTTTAAGAACGATTTTTAGCCAGTCTAACTAAAACCGTCAATGTTTTCCTTTCGTATAGCTAAAAAGCAAGTCACCCAAAAATTGTATTACTCAACCCCAGAAAAGGATGAGACTTGATGACGAAATTTTCCCACCATTTGATGAAATCATTCTATCTCCTCCCAAAGAATTCCAGGATGCGGAATGCTCTGTTCATGTTAAAGGTACTTTTGTTTATTTCACTTTCAACTATATTTTAATTTAAATGCTCATTATTTTTAAATTCTTTAGAAACTTTAAACCCAAAAGGTCTATATTCTTACGGTTGTGGTATTTCCTTTTTCTAGATATACCATTCAGTGTTTTTTTTTATTGTAGATGTTGGTTTTTCATTAATAAAGCAAATTCTCGATTTAATCGACAATAATCAGTTCGACACGTTAACAAAAATTGAAACGTTTGTTGCCGCTCTCAAATAGAATTTTGAAAGAAAATAATGCTATTTAAGTACATAGGTTTAATCGTTGTAGTTAATGTTCAAAGTTGCTTATTTTTAAGTTACAGTTAAATCTATTTTTACCCATATTTATAATAGAAATACTATAGAAAATTATTATAAATGTTTAAAAGTAGCTAGCTGTTTGAAAAAATAAATGATGTTTTATTGATTAGCTGTTTTTTTTTAATTTTTGATAAAACATCTATTTTTCTTGTCTTTGTAAATTCCAGAAAATCCCAGAGAAACTGTAAATTGAATTTTTGCAAAACGATTATTAAAACTAGGAGCCGCATATTAATACATAACTGTAATCGTCCATAATTAATTGATTAATAATTAAACCATTCGAAAAGAAATTTGAATGGTCATTGATAATGGGGCGCGGCATGATAATACGACAGCACTCAACGTGTAGGAGTGGCCCTGCTAATTAGGGAAGACATCGACCACCACAGCATAGGAGTAGAGGACACAGACATACACGCCATCAGCGTGCAAATCAACACCTCCAAAGAGCCAGTAATTGTTACTTCTGTTTACAGAGCCCCTAAGGAAGCCCTGAACCTGCTGGACATCCAGACAATGTTAGAGAACAACAAAGCAAGGCTG